CCTTACCCCTTCAGGAGAGTTCTAATTGATCTGTTATAATTAAACTCACATCAGATTGGTTTTAATTTGGAAAATGAAATATATTTTATGTTTATTTAAAATAATTAATCGACCAAGTCAAGTTCATGAACTGACCATGCCGTCATTACAACCATCTTTGAATTGCAACTTCATATCAAAACTCGAAGTCCGTCAATCGATACGCAATTATCCAAAGTATAAGCATGCAAAATTTTATGCCTGTCGTACACGTATTAGCTGAGCCATTGGACTTTTTATAAAGAGTGTCGCATTAAGAAGAAGAAGATTACCAAATGTATAAAAATAGTTTCAGCTTCCAAAATAGAATGTTTTCTATGGGTGGGATGGCCTAGCGCTCTAGAGTATCCCGCTTCGAGCTCTAAATGGCCGGTCACCTCTGGCCTGCTGTCATGGTTCCGATCCCTAGTGACTTGAAGATAGTGTCGGCCTCTCAACCTCGTGGGTTTACCCCGGTTTGACCCCATAGGAAAGACCCCCATGCTTTCGTTGAATATACTAATATAAGATAATTTTCTGCGATATCACATTCGATGGAGGCGGATGTTAAACATGGTCTGAAGGGAATTCACACTAACTCCAGCATGATAAATTGGATTTAGTTGTGGTCTGTAAACTATACCACAATTGATGATACTTATAGGATACTTTTAGAATGCAATACGTGAGGATTTGTATATTTTTATAGAAGTTAAGCCTTTTAGCAAGGAAAACAAAACAGGCGTATTCTAAGTAAATTGTCAATTAAGGGGATGAACGATAAATCATTAGTTTCAATTCTATTTGTCTTTTTCTAAACTATCAATAAATTCACAGATGCACAAGTATTTGTCTTTTTCTAAACCATCAATAAATTCACAGATGCAAAAGTATTTCTCTTGGATAGTAAATCGTTTAAAACTAATTCCCATTTTGTTTTTTTAAGAGTGCAAGGTCAGTCTTCCTTAGATAATTACATTGCTGATTTTAAGTGATGTAACGGAATGTATACGACAACAGCTGAAAGTGATGCTAAGAGTTCTTGTTTTTATTCAGACTCAAGAATGTGATTATCGCCCACCCTAATTCACTCTCTAGTCTTGGAGTGATGGATTCTAATCACCATCCACGCTTTAACTTTTTTATGTTCAAAATATTTATCTTTATGTACAAAGATAAGAATAGGGTTTTAATGGAGAAGATATTAAAGCTATTTTGCCGGTTTTTTCTCTTTAATTAATAACACCAGTTGGATGTAAATATTCATTTAGCCCATAATTAAAGAGATCCAAATGTGTATTTGTGCTTTGGGAGGAAAATCATTTAAAAGCTTTAGATCAATGAAACTTAGAATGTTTAAGAAAATGCGGATCGTTAGCAAAAAATTCTTAACTGTAAATTGATGATTCGATGAATACATGTGCAACCAAAAAGATTACTGAATGTTTCAAAGTTTTAAGATTTATTTTAAAAATGTGATGTCACGCCATCTGTTTCGAATCAGTGTGAGTTGAACATGAATATCAATATCGATAATACTTTAAACTTTACTGAAATTACATCTTCTATCGAGGGATGAAAGCCTAAAATTGATAGACCCTTTTTTAATATCAAATCTCATATTAACTTTAAATATTAATTCAATCCATGATGGTTTATTGTATAAGGACATGTTTCCATATAGTCGTTTAGTGTGTATGATTGTTTGCGACCACTTCTTGACGTTAATGGACATATTACGTCAAAGAAGTGATAATGCAATCGCAAACAGATCGTGAGAGGAGGTATGAAATCCAGAAATGTCATTATCATGTAGCTGTCAGTTTAGTTTTTTTTTCATAATTTCGATGACGACAAGTAATACAAAATTTTCACTATGTGTTTTAATCAGATTCGTTGTTTTTATGTAAAAGATGGGTTGGGTGGTACAGTGGTTAAACGCGTGCGCGTGAAATAACAAGGTCTGTCATTGAGTCAAGTGGCGTGGTTTCCATTTTCCGCTTGAACGTGACAAGAAGCAGGGTCGCCTGTCCAATCGCGTGGGTATTCTCAGGATCCTCCTGTTTCCTCCCACTTCTAAATACCTCTACGCGCAAGCGAATTATTGAAATAAAATTGAACCGTATGTTTGTTCCGAAATGACAAAGTGAGTGGACGTTAAACCCCATCCGCATGCTACCAAAGGGCGCCCCTCCCCTCCCCCGCCTAATAATAATAACTTCAAATGCTCACATATAATAATCAAATAATAAAATAAATACGCCACGATTAAAAGAGACGATTTTTCACCATAACGTTCGTGGATTCTCAGCTAGTTGTGGTATTGGTATTTTGCCAATCAGCAAGTCATTATGTTAAATGTAGTTTTCATTCAATCAATCTTGAAACAGTTTATTGTTTGATCTGATGAAAAACAAATCTCCTTAAATCAATTGTATTCTGTGTTATATTCTGTTCTAAAGGTTATCGTTGCTAAATTCAGACATTTTCTAGACATCGATAACACATCGGACTTCATATTTTTTGCTCTTAATTCCAACTTTTTTCTCAGAACTGAATTCATCAAATCGACAAATGAAGTTTAAAAAGCGTGGACCTGTCCCGCCTATCTGTTACACAGGGATCGATGCTTAAAGGTCATGAAATCAGTGGAGACGTTAAAAAGTCGATAGATTACAAATCGTGAGATGTTGCAGGTTTAATTATGGACAATAATTCGCGGATAAAATAGAAAGTGATAGTACGGGATCCCCAGAGAACAGGGAAGGGAGATTAACAATACAATGGATAATATTACTTTTACACTTTAAAACGTTTTTCTGTTCTAGTCACTAGAGTATTTTATTTCCTTTTGAGTATAGATTATAGAAAGATGGTTTGCAAGGCAAAATGTCAAGTGTGCTTTAGGTACCAGAAATAAATTTGGTACTGCAACACGTTGACGATATACTGTGGACTTTTTGTGGGGCGGTGGTGGAGATGGGGACTTGGTGTAATGAGGAAAGGTGGGCTGGTGGTGGAGATGGGGGCTTCGTGTAATAAAGAAAGGTGGATTGATGATGGAGATTGGGGCTTGGTGTAAGGAAAGGTGGGCTGGGGGTGGAGATGGGGGCTTGGTGTAATAAATAAAATAAAGGTATTTTGCCACATTAGAATTCTTCTTGCTGACGAACACGGACCTTCTGAAATATCATAGCTGGTCGTGCTGGTTATAAGCCTTATACTACCTGGCTGTAAAATTAAGTTGCCTATTCTTTATATTCTATTCATTATCTAATACTAAAGTGATTTCAAAATGCACAACTAGAAACACGACATTAATACGCAAGCCATGACGTCATGATATAATAATTTCTGTTCATAAATAGATGTAATATGTGTTACTCGATACAGTGCCTTTCTTTCTGTATATTCGCACAGCCACGTTTTTACAGTGTAGCTTTTCATAGCATGAGCACACGGTTTTCTTTTTATAAACAATTACTGTCAGTTACCCCAATGACGTCACGTCACCTTAATTTGTCTTTCTGTGTATTCACACAGCCACGTATTTACAGGGTGCGGGGTAGCTTTTCATGGCATGTGCACACCGTTTTCTTTTCATAAACAATTGCTGTCAGTTACCTTAATTTGACTTTCTGTGTTTACAGTGTGCGGGGGTAGCTTTTCCTAGCATGAGCACACGGTTTTCTTTTCATAAACAATTAATCAGTTACCCCAGTGATTTCACGTCACCTTAATTTGTCGAAATAATTTGTATTTTGGGTTGTTGATTTCTTAAACTGTTTTAATATTAGGTAATGAGTAAAATACAAACAGATGGCAATGTTTGGATTTATTCTTTAGATTTTAGATGTAACTGCACATTGCAATATATGGGTGTATCGGTAATACCCTCCTACAGTGAGCCACTACGGGACCGTCGCAAATTTTCACACTTGCGGCCAAACGGATAACCCATGGATAAATCTTGAAATCTATCCGCTAACCTACGGAGTAAGAAAATGTTGACTTATTTCCGTTCATAATTCAATATTAAAGGAGCTAAATCTCTAACTCAATATTTTCTATAATATTTGAAGTTAAAAACACGATTTAGAATTCAATATTGGTCAATTTCAATCAATATTGATGTTATTGTCTTGTGAAAATATAGGATCCTAATATCCAATATTTAAGACACATTTCATAATCAGTACACGAGTCGTGTATTCTATGGTTTTGGGTGCCATTTGGAAGTAATTAGTAATGGCTGATTCACAAACAACAACATAATAAATGAAATTGCGTAAAAACCATTATAGAACCATTATATTCTATTTCAAGGTTCCATAAAATACAGCCATGCCCCCTTTAAATAACCGACATTTAATTTATCATTTTCTATCCATGGTGCGGTTCAACCCACCCACATAGTTCCGCGGGATTTTCATTTTGACGTAAGTATTGAACTTTTTCGACGGTCCCATATACATGTAGCTGCAGGGTTATTGATTGAAGCTAAAGTATGTAAAAAAAATTGCGTAATATCAAAACATTAAGGAAGAGTTTTATGTACCACTGCTTATACTAATGACTTTTAAATCTGATATAAAAAAAATAACATTTTTAGTAATTACTCAGTGATTTTCAAAATATTTGTGGGATTTCTTTTCTCATGAACTATCTTTTTTGGATTATAATAATATGGTTCTAAAATAAACCATAATGGATTGAAAGAAAGATGTCAAAAACACATACTTGTGATTTATCGGGGTAATAATGAATAGAGAACAACGCATTATATGGTGATGAAAATATCATTAATATGGAAGCGTATAAGGGTCAACAGAGCGATAGGTACCGCTATATTAATTTGTGATTTTACCTTTGAAAAGACCATTTTTGCAAAGGTAATTGAATAAACGCGCTATGCTGTATGCTGTCATTTCGTTTTGGACCCTTATACGCTTCCATACATTAACCACATACAAATCTCTTACCTTAAATTCTTTTTCCACTTCTTGTAGCTTCATCATCTCTTGTCTCAATTCAAAGGTGTTCATAATAGGATCTGGACTAGATAGAGCCATATAAGCCGGGCTAGCAAGTGCCCGATAAGCATTTAATCGAGATCTGGATCGCTTTAACGAATCGTAATTTTGCTTAGTAACACAATCAGCACATGTACACGATATAGGATGAGGTTTAGGAATGGTATGATTCCTCGATATGAACATTTGGATTATTTCATGATTATTGTAATGTGCTGCAAGAATAAGCGGAGTAATATCCGGCGGAAACTGACTCTTTTCCTCCGTCCTGAAAAAGGCATCACCACCTCCCATTCTCTTTAACTTCACTTCCCCGGCCATAAAATTCGGGTGCTCGATAATGGTTTTCACTATTTTCACGGCACCTTTACTGATGGCATGAAGTAAGGCCTCGTCAATACAGTTAAAACTCAAGTTATCCAAGAGAATTTCTATTACATCCATCTTTTCACTGTCGATAGCCAGATGTAAAGCATTGCGACCCATATAATCAACACAGCCAATATTCAGGTTCGATTCCACTCGATCTTCCAGGCACATCCGCACCACGCCTACATCACCTAGATAGGCGGCATTCAGAAACACTCGTTCCTCGTCAGTCAACTGAAAAGAAAATTGTTGCGTAATCAATGTAAACAAAGAGGACTACTGTGTGAAAGTAGGAGGAAAGCGTCTATTTAATTAAATATAAAAGCATGAGAGCGTCTAATCAATTAAATATAATTTAATAGGTCAGTTTGTTTTTCTAAGATGATCTAATCAAAAGAGGTTCTTATATTATTTCAGTATCCAGGTGGGGGGTTGGATGGCTTAGTGGTTAGCACGTCTGCGCTGTATCATTAAGTCTGTCATTGAGTCAACTGGCGTGGTTTCGAATCCATGGTTGTACGTGACAAGGAGTAGGGTCGCCTGTCCAACCTCGTGGGTTTTCTCCGGGTCCCCCGGTTTCCTCCCACTGCTAAAGACCCCTACGCGCAAGCGAAATATGGAAATAAAATCGAACCATATGTTAGTCCCGAAATGACCTAGTTTGTGTCGAGTGGACGTTAAACCCATCTCTCTCTCTCTCTCTCTCTCTCTCTCTCTCTCTCTCTCTCTCTCTCTCTCTCTCTCTCTCTCAGTATCCAGGTATTAGTTCTGGGGATCTGAGACGGTTGAAATTTAACTATTACTAGTAATAAATCTGTATGATTCAATGGTTGTAGACGTTTCTACTTTCAATTTACGAGTTAATCAAATGTATTAATTGTTTTTGAAAGAGGTTCATGAACGGTCCTGAAATAAGAAAACAGTAGACCAGTCATTGGAGTTTAGAGAAAAGAGTTTAATTTAACCGACACAAAATAATAACACTATGTTTTTGATGATGATCTTTAAGATAGAATTTGAAAAATCTTATTGCAAAGAATGGGTCGATAAAAATCGCCTGTCCAACCTCGTGGGTTTTCCCTACATCTTCCGATTTCTTCCCACTGCAAAAGTACCCTACAATATTGGCTAATTATTAAGTTCTAGTTTGTGTCGAGTAGAAATTGAATCCCATTTGTGTATGTCGTATTTTGGACAATCTGTAGTGATGATTTACATGCACGGCCTGTTTTTAATGAATACTTTTTCTTATAATAACAAAACAATATCTACATATGACGAACAAATATATGAAATACCTATAGGTAGTGCTATAGGTATTGACCGACTTTCACCAGGGAAATGAAGCATACTAAACTTAGGCTGTCTGTCTACAGACACTAAGCTAGTTGACCGACATTTTAAGTCATAAATCAACGATTTCAGTCAAAAACACTGAGTGTAGTTCGAGAATTTTGTTACGTATTTATTCTGCTTCAATTTAATGGAATTGACAAAGTTTATTTTGTCTTTGTGTGTATGACAAATTGTAGAAACCCATTACAAAACAGAATACAAATTTTTGGATATGGTGGTCATCTAGTACAGAGATCTATTCTTGAAGTAAGAACTAAGTGATTCTCTGTGTGCAGAATGGGAAATAAAGTTCAAAATATTTAACATATTTTTTGGTAGATTTTAAGTGTAGGTAACATCATATGACACCTGTTTTATATTGGGCATGCTTCCCAAATAAATGAAGTCATCAGCCGATTGGTGGAATAAAAACAAATGACTCTCATATCTTTAAAAACATTTTTTACCATCTAAATGCAGATTTTAACAGCTTAATCTGATTTGAATTTACAAAAATATCAATACCACTAAGTAATTTTGCTTCAATTTGCTCCACCTGTGCCAGTCTATACATATTTAATGTGCCCCGTAACATTCGTTCAAGAGTTAAACGAACAAACTATGAATAATCACCAAAATGCTAAAACCAATCTTTCCGCGAGCCTCTTCCTGTGTATTTAAACAGTTCTGGGTCGCCACAACCATTTTCAGATCTAACAAGCATCCTTGTTTTCAGTCGAATGGGTGTAGGAAAAAACTTAATTGCTAATGCACAAACATAGAACAAGTTATCTTTTGATGTGAATCCCCAAGAAACGCTATCATTGCAATCAGAATAAATCATATTTTCTACAAATACAAACCCAGTAATTTGTTTTTCCATGGCGATAGTTCATTGACCAATTACACCCTTGAAAATTCCATTTCCACAAAAAATCACTCTAACGTGTCGAAAAGATTTTGTAATTTCATCAATATCATTTCGCCGAATTTTTTTTTATTTTATAAATCTAGTTATGTGGTAAGTAAATGTTATATTTGCTTTTTATTTCATTTCGTATCTTTTGACATCTAACGTTAAACTCTTCTCATGTCTATTGAAGTAAACTTTCCGCGACTTTTCCAATCGCCAATCAATATTTTTCATCAAGTATTATTTCTGTATATCAAGACATGTCAAACTTTCACATTCGATTACGTGGCATTTGATTTAACATTTTGAAATATCGCCAACTTGTAGCTCAGTAGCTTGTTGTTTTAAGACTTCTCGTTACAGATTTATTCAAAGATATTTTAAATCTTGTCAAATCAAATGATGATATGTTCGATTTGGAGTTACTGCTATAAACTCTTAATTCAATAAAGTAAAATGGCTTACAAACTACTTGTATACATTACTTTAAAACTGTTTAAATTTAATCAAAACTTAAAATTCAAATAACGAATTTACTGCAGCAGAACTGCAAGAGTCGGCAATATGACATTTAATTTCTTGCAATGTACTTCGGTCACGTAAAACATTTGTTTGGGAAACCATAGTGCCGAATCGTTTCGCATTTCCATGTTTTCACTTCATTTTAAGTATTATGTCTTACATTGCGACCCATGACTATATTTATTGAGCATTAACTTGTTAAGATTTGCTGTCTTCACACTCGTTCAATAATAATAACAGCAGATTTTCAATTGGGTTTAATTTAAAGATGGGTAATTCTCGTTTTGACAATAACCCATCTCCTTTTTGGCGCCAGAACTCACGCTAACACGTCTAAATTCTTGCATTACATTATCGATTGTGAGGGCATGTATACATGTAAAGTGTTCCATATTTATTTATAGTAGTTATTATCAGTAAACGCCAACTAAAAATAATGGAGAGAAGACATTTGGGAGCTATTTATGAAGGTGGTTAGTCTAGGCTGTTGCCCTTTGATTCAATTGGAACAAATGATATTTGTATATCGGACGAACTAATGTACCTATGTTGATTCATGTATGTAAATTTGGAGAAATTGCTAAATGAAATGAAATGAAATGAAATGGGGTTTAACTTCCTACTTTTTTGAACTGATTGGGTTAATGAAGACATACAGTGTTATAAGAGAAATGTTTCCCGGACAACGGCACTACGGCCTATACTTAATTCGAATTCCAATTGTCAAAGTTTCTTTTATGTGCACACCAATTGAAGAAATTGCGCCAAGTCTTTTTGCAAGGGCGGTGGCATTAGACAAGGTATAATTTATATATTCCCCATTTCCTGGCAAGTCTGTAGTTTGCACAAGGAATCTAGTTTTTCAAACTGGGAATAAAAACTTAGTGCTTTCACTATCGCTGCCACATTTCAATTTTTACGCCACAATGCTGCATCACGTTTTCATTAGCCAAGTCAGCGCAGAAAAGTAGGACGTTAAACCCTATTATATCTCAGTTCCTTTACCGCGTTGCCTTTATGAATAAATGTATTTTTAACTTTGGGTACTATTCTTGCAATCACGGTTTCTGACAAATATCTTTGATCCAGAAACACAAAACTTTGCACATAGTTTCTTATTAACGTATTTGATACATTTAAACAACAAAAGTTTTATAAGGGGCTTTATTTTAGTTAAAATAAGGCGAACAGTTTTGAGTAAATTCTTAAGTCTGAGAATGCTTTGTGTCTGCCATTGAGTGATGTGGCGTGGTTTTGATTCCCCGCATGTACGCGACAAGGAGTAGGATTGCCTGTACAACCTCGTGGGTTTTCTTCCACTACTAAAGACCCGGACGAATTATTGAAATAAAATTGAACAATATGTCATTCCCTAAATGATCTAGTTTGTGTCGAGTGGACGTTAAACCCAATTACTCTCTTTCTTTTAAAAGACATCCTTTCAGAAACAAAAACTCAGTAGTTTAAAATTGTAATTATTTGAGAGTAGCCAAGGCTCGGAATTGGATTGGTCACAGATCGGAAGTATACTACTGACGTCATGTTAAGTCCTAATTATCTAGCAAAACGACTACTCTGAAGTAGGATTGGACCAATAGGGGTATGCCAATTTTTAACGATAAGCCGTAAACCGCATCTTGAGATTCATTCCTCGACCAATCTAGGCCGTAATGATCAATCAAGCTCGTTTACTTTAGGCAAAATTTTCTACGATATTCATTTATTCATCATGTATTATTGTCCGAAAGCGGGTTGTTCTCGAGCTAGAACTGTCGTCAAAGTAATTCCAAAAATTCGTCTGACTGAGTCCGAACCGTCGTGCTACCTCTGTAATTAGTACTAAGCTACTCCCCGAACACAGCCACTTGACCTGATTAATCCAAACACACGTTGTTTACCAAACAAGGTATTAATATTTATCCTGTAGTGGGGATAAGGTCAAAGGTGGGCGTCAAACGTAACAATGGTTTCTAATTGGCTAAAAGTAGCGAGGTACTTTTCAAATAGGTTGATGATTGGGCGGGTTGGCTACTCATGTTTCCTCGGTAAACAGACTGGTCAACATCTTCACCTTAGGATCGTGTGGTGATGAATAGATACATTGAGGCAATAGGTCAAGATTCTATTTAAACTGATTACAACTATTTAGTTAGAGAGTGTAATACAATAAACCTTGTGATGATGAACTTACAGATCGTATCATTAAGCTATTGCTAACACAGGGTAAAATTTGGTTAAGTGCAAAACAGGCGCCCAATTCTAAATTCTTATTTCATTTGTGTTGGCGGTAAACGGGGAATTTGAACACCATAACAGTCTCCACGTACAACAATCAAGGACTGATTCACACATATTTCTTTTCTAAACCAATATCTCTGATGTCTCAAATGTTATATCTAATAGTTCCTTCATTAACCCACCGGGGGATAAATTCCTAGCCAAGAGCCGCAAAAGTGAAAAAGCG